TGTGTGTGTGTGTGTGTGTGTGTGTGTGTGTGTGTGTGTGTGTGTGTGTGTGTGTGTGTGTGAGCAGGTGACCTTTGTGTCTGATGAGGTATCTGCCGAGGACGATGAGGAGGCAGAGCAGGATGAAGACGATAACAGCTACCACCCCTCCGATCACGGCGTGGTCCACCCCCGAAGACGTCGACATGGCTGTGGGGTCTTTAGTAGAGGGTGTTGTGGAAGGAGAGGAGAGATGTGAAGAGGAAGTCGTGTCGTAAAGATAAGAGACGTGATGAGAAAAGGAAAGAGAGAAACGGACGTGGAAGAGACAATAGAAAATGAGGTAGAGACGGGGAGAAAATATAGAGGGACAGAGATTGAGGGCAGATGGGGAGGGGGGGGGTGGCGTATGAATATTGGCGGAAACAGGAGACAGATGATGAAAGGCAGCAGAAATGAGAAAGAGAGAGAGAGAGAGAATATAATGGGGAGAGTGACGGAGAGAAGGCAGACAGGAAAGAGAAGAAGAAGGGAGCAGACTTGTCAATATATAATACCAGACACAGCGACAACCTTCAGAAGACAAAGACAAGGGTTCAGAAAAAGCCAGGCGAAAAGAAAAGGTGCCACCATATCGCCCTCTTTTAGAAAATGTTTCATAACTAATATGCAACAGGGTTGTTAACTCATTAGGTCCATATCTCTACGGCATTCTGCTAATGTGGGTGAACATCTAGCTCCTTCAGTGCTGATGATTCCTACAATGTTCACTAAGCTAAGGATTTCTTTGCTTTGCTACTGTATGGATTAGAAAGGTCTGAAAATGCTCAGTTTGGGGGAATTCAAGGCCTGATTATTAACCAGGAAATGTATTAAACTTCTCCATCACTTCAAAAGCACCAAGTTCAGCAGCCAGGATGGATCCAACATGATATATAAAGTGGTTTAATTATTCTGTAGTATACTCATTTCATATAGACTATGCACTAAAGTAGAAATTGTTTTATTTACAATTTACTTTTAACAAGTACATAGACCAATACTTTCACACAAGTAGAAATACCCAGTTAGTGTGCTTGCATTACGAACACACATACAGTATTTTAAAAGCAGTGTTTTTCTGGTGGTTTTGTTCACTCTTTGAATGCTTGTGGATATAGTTTATATTTCAGGTAGGTCAAGCTGAAAACAATAGCTCTTCTCTTTTACCGCTTCTTTAAAAGCGTGCATTTTTTTCGAGGTGCGAGATTTCCACCCAACAGCAGCAGAGATTTGAGATGCATTTCCCCCAGCTTGCCTCGCTTCAGCCACTTTAGCTGCTTGCCCCTCAGAGAAGAAAGCAATGTGGGCCGAAATAATTTGATACATCATTTATTTCGCCTGACTTTTTAGACCGGGTCAGTCGCTGGGTGTCACTTTGAAAGTCACTCAAACAGGCATAATTCAAAAGCAACACTTATCATAACAAAATGTTTGTTTAGGGGAATAAAGGAAAGAGAGACTGGCTTTCACTTGGTCAATATCTGAGGGGTCAAACCATTCTGGAGGACAAGGATTCAACCATTCAGAGGAGGAAACAGCTAGATAATACAGAGGACAGGAATAGAGGCACAGCGACACACACTGACAACCAGTAATATGGAGAAAACTGAAGAAACACATTACAGCCGGAAAGGACACAGCATGATGGGCTGAACGGGCAATTTTAGAGGAAAAAGTCACATTTCAGCGAGTGAAAGAGAAGTGAAGGGGCATGACAACAGCCAACCAGAGGCCAGAGGCAGACAAGGAGAGGAGGAGGGAGGAGGAGGGGGGGGGGGTGGACTCTGAGCAGCAGTCAGAATGACACACACTCACACACACACACACACATACAGAGAAAGTCAAACACACACTCTGGCTGGCCGGCGTGGAGGTGAGAGGGGCATGCTGACGAGGCGAGACTGAGAATGAGCCCATAAATCCTGCTGTCAGCATCACAGCAAAGCAGACAAGACCCAAGAACACCTCAAAGCCTGACCCCCCCTCCCTCCCACACACACACAGAAAACACACACACACACACACAGAAAACACACACATACACATAGAGAAACATGGTACAGTGTAAATGACTTGTACCACTTAAGGGGTCATGCTAGTGTGTGT